AAAATTACTCCAGATCATTGTGCAGGTCTGATCTGCAACTACAGGAAACGTTTGGTTGAGGTTATTGCTGCCAAAGGAGGGTCAACCGGTTATTAAGTCGAAAGGTTCACATACATTTTCCTCCCTGCACTGTGAATGTTTACATGTTATGTGCAATTAAACCATGGCAACATCTAATGTTTGTGTAGTATTATGTTCAGCAGACTGTGTTCTTCTATTGTTGTGACTTAGATGACGTTCAGAGCACATTTTATGCCCAATTCATGCAAAACTCCACGTAATCCCAAGGGGTTCACATACTTTTTCTTGCAACTGTATAGTAATATTCCCCCATAGTAAGCATAGTAATTAATCCCCCATATAGTAATTCATCCCCCATAGTAATTCATCCCCCATATAGTAATTCATCCCCCATATAGTAATTCATCCCCCATAGTAATTCATCCCCCATAGTAATTCATCCCCCATATAGTAATTCATCCCCCATATTAATTCATTCCCCATATTAAGTCCCCAAGTCCCCCCTGTGTCAATTCACTTACCTTTGCTCCGCGCGTTCCTCTCGCCGTGTTCCCGCGCCGTTCCGATGTAGCATGAAAATCTGTCTCCTATGAGGATCTGCCCCCCTCGACGTATCTGCGCATGTGCCAGTTTCAGGCATTAGCAGCCGATCGGCAATCTCCGGCACATGCGCAGATACGTTGAGGGGGACAGATCCTCATAGGAGACAGATTTTCATGCTACACCGGTCTTCAGGGCGGACTGTGAGGGGAGCCTAGCGGGAGCCTAGCTCCGCGGGCCGGATTAAAAGGTCCGCCGGGCCGTATACGGCACGCGGGCCGTAGTTTGCCCATTGCTGCCCTACAGTAACCGGCGCCCATCTGTTCACATCCCACTGTTGCCTAAGTAATCTACACCCTGAGATGAAATGTCAGCCCACCCCATCTCTGGAGGTACCATTATGCCTCCTGGAAGTACCATTATGCCTCCTGGAGGTCAGGGGGGTGCTCCATGCACCTACAGGACTAGAGAATATATGAAAAGCACACAAAATGTGTAAAGTAATGCATTTGGGGGCTAAAATAATGAATGCAAGTTACTCGCTTGGAGATGAACCTCTGGGGGAATCCAGGATGGAAAAGTACCTGGAGGTCCTACTGGATGACAGACTCAGCAACGGCATGCAATGCCAAGCTGCAGCAAGCAGAACATTACCATGCATAAAAAGAGGGATTACTGCAGAGATAAAACAATAATTCTGCCACTTTATAGAACTCTGGTTTGGCCACATCTGGAGTATGCCGTCCAGTTATGGTCACCAGTCCTCAGGAAGAATGTGAGGGAACTGAAGAGAGTCCAGAGTAGGGCAACAAAACTAATAAGTAGACAGGAGGACCTCAGTAACGAGGAATGACTACAAACACTAAACGTATTCTCCTTGGAGAAGAGACGCTTGAGAGGAGATATGATAGTGATATACCAATACCTCATGATTCTAGCATAGGAAATAACCTATTCAGTCTCAGGGACTATAGGAAGACAAAGGGCCACTCAATAAAAATGGAGAAGTGGTTTAGCCTGAACCAATTCCTGTCCGGCCCATGTATATAAACGGCCAGACGGTGGCAGTGCAGGGTCGGGTGGCCGTTTATAAATGGCCTCCCCGCCCCCTGCTTGTGCGAGCTCCCTGGGAGCGCGCAACACGGCGATCCAGTGCCCGCTGTGTCCTCCGGACACAGTGGAACACCTATCGTCGGACGGGACCTCTGTGCGAGGTCCCGATCATGTGATCACTGATTGGCCAATCAGTGATCACATGCAGAGTAGTAAGCAAGATGTCACTTGTGACATCATTGCTTACTACGTTTGAAATCTGTGAATGATCACAGATGTCACATGGTACAAGGCTATTCACAATAGCCTTGTACCATGTGACAAGCTATGACCAATCACAGCTCACACAGTAGTTCTTAATGGCTGCAAGAATGCAGCCAGAGAGAAGGAGAAATGATTTCTTTTACAGCCTTTATGGGTGTAAAAGCAATCAGTGAAAAAAAAAAAAAAAAATATCTTCATCACCCCCCACAAGTAGTAGAGTGTCACCATGGTGACTGTACTGCTAGGGTGACAGTATGTTAAAAAAAAAGCCTTTATAAGTCTAAAAGCAATCAGTGTACAAAAAAAAAAAATCTTCACCCCCACAAGTAGCACAGGGTCACTATGGTGACACTTTCTTGCTAGGGTGACAGTATGAAAAAAATATAAAAAACAAAATTTTGAAAAATTATTATTTTTGGTTATAAACTAATTTGGCTTATTTTTTTTTACTTAAAAGATAACGGAATACATTTTGGCCAAGATTTATGATGAAATATTATTTATTTGCAAAATGTTATAAGAAAAACACTTTTTTCAAAATTTTTGGACTTTTTCATTTACATAGCAAAAAAAAAATAAAAAACTCTCTGGTGAATAAATACCACCAAAATAAAGCTTTATCTGTCTCAAAAAAATTCTAAAAAATTCATATGGGTACAGTGTTGCATGACCGCGCAATTGTCATTCAAAGTGTGACAGCGCTGAAAGCTGAAAATTGGCCTGGAGAGGAAGGGGGGGAAAGTGTCCGGACTGGAAGGGGGGGAAAGTGTCCGGACTGGAAGGGGGGGAAAGTGTCCGGACTGGAAGGGGGGGGAAAGTGTCCGGACTGGAAGGGGGGGAAGTGTCCGGACTGGAAGGGGGGGAAGTGTCCGGACTGGAAGGGGGGGGAAGTGTCCGGACTGGAAGGGGGGAGAAAGTGTCCGGACTGGAAGGGGGGAGAAAGTGTCCGGACTGGAAGGGGGGTGAAAGTGTCCGGACTGGAAGGGGGGTGAAAGTGTCCGGACTGGAAGGCAGGGAAGTGTCCGGACTGGAAGGGGGGGAAGTGTCCGGACTGGAAGGGGGGAAAGTGTCCGGACTGGAAGGGGGGGAAAGTGTCCGGACTGGAAGGGGGGGAAAGTGTCCGGACTGGAAGGGGGGGAAGTGTCCGGACTGGAAGGGGGGAAAGTGTCCGGACTGGAAGGGGGGGAAGTGTCCGGACTGGAAGGGGGGGAAGTGTCCAGACTGGAAGGGGGGGGGGAAGTGTCCGGACTGGAAGGGGGGGAGGGGCCGGACTGGAAGGGGGGGAGGGGCCGGACTGGAAGGGGGTGAAAGTGTCCGGACTGGAAGGGGGGTGAAAGTGTCCGGACTGGAAGGGGGGTGAAAGTGTCCGGACTGGAAGGGGGGTGAAAGTGTCCGGACTGGAAGGGGGGTGAAAGTGTCCGGACTGGAAGGCGGGGAAGTGTCCGGACTGGAAGGGGGGGAAGTGTCCGGACTGGAAGGGGGGGGGAAGTGTCCAGACTGGAAGGGGGGGGAAGTGTCCGGACTGGAAGGGGGGGGGGGGCCGGACTGGAAGGGGGGGGAAGTGTCCGGACTGGAAGGCGGGGGAGGGGCCGGACTGGAAGGGGGGGAAAGTGTCCGGACTGGAAGGGGGGGGGAAAGTGTCCGGACTGGAAGGGGGGAAAGAAAGTGTCCGGACTGGAAGGGGGTGAAAGTGTCCGGACTGGAAGGGGGGGGAAAGTGTCCGGACTGGAAGTGGTTAAACTGTGTAGGGGGGTAAGGCTGTGGAACTCACTTCCACAATCGGTGTTGTCAGAGGAAAATATGGATAGTTTAAAGAAAAAAAAACCCTTAGATGGGCATCTTAATGAATATACAGGGATATGTGATATGATATTTGACATGAGCACACAGACACATATTGATTGAATTGGGTGGGCTGTTGTCTTTATTCAACCTTACCAACTATTAGTGATGGGCCAAACACCCCCTGTTCGGTTCACAATTGAACATTCGAACCCACAGAATATTCGACCATGAACTTCGAACACAAACAATTTAGTGAGCGGTATGTTACCGAATCCGAGTATGTGGTAATAAACCGCTCAGTTATGAGTTCTATTATGAAGTCACACAGTATTTTAGTAGTGAGACATTCATTGATGTTTCAGTTGTCGGTGAGGTTCCCCGCTGACAGCTGACTGTAAAAGAATTGTCAGAATTACCCGACAATTACACATTTAAAAAAAAAAAAAAACGGTGTGGGGTCCCCCGTCCTACCCATACCAAGCCCTTCGGGTCAGGTATGGATTTTGAGGGGAACCCCTATGCCACAATAAAAAAAAATGGTTTGGGCCCCCCCCCCCCAAAATCCATTCCAGACCCTTATCTGAGCATGCAGCCTAGCAGGTCAGGCAAGGGGGGGTGGATGAGCGAGCACCCCCCCCCCCCGAACCATATCAGGCCACATGCCCTCAACATGGGGTGGTGCTTTGGGGCAGGGGGGGGCTCCTCCCTAAAAGCACCTTGTCCCCATTTTGATGGGGACAAGGGCCACTTCCCCACAACCGTGGCTGGTGGTTGTGGGGGTCTGCGATCAGGGGGGCTTATCAGAATCTGGAAGCCCCCTTTAACAAGGGGACCCCCAGATCCCCGCCCCCCGTGGGAATGAGTATGCAGTACATGGTACCGCTTCCCATTCACAAAATGTGTAGTGTAAAAATAACAGTCTTTGACAAGTCCTTTCTTAAAAACAAAAAGTTTAAAAAATGTCCCCCGAACACACGAACGATCTATGTTTGAGTCGAACTCAGAGTCCAACACTACCAACTAGGTAACTATATAGAACAGCAGTGTATAGTATCATGTGGACTTGTGCACAGTAACACACATGCGGGGGTGGACTGACAACTCATGGGGCCCCCCGGGCAATAGGGGATCATGGGGCCCCTCTGTCCTTGCCCAAACTCACAAAAGCCTATGAAAAAGGTACCAAAGGCATCTCATGAGGCCCCCTACTGACCCCGGGCCCTCGGGCAGTGCCTGAGTTTCCAAATGGTCAGTCCGCCCCTGATACACATGTGTCAAGTAATTACAGTATATTGTGACATAGAGTGCTAGTTGTAAAAGTCAGTTTAATATGTTACCTGATGGGGGCGATCCTAATTCTTGAGCAGCGTCTATAGCTCCAAGCCCCGCCTCCACAGTGACGCTGGGTTTGTTCACATCCTTATAATAAGCCAAAAATTCTACATCTCGATCGAACTTGTGACCCTCCACCAGTGACACCTGCAAATGGGAAATCACATAGTAGTTAACACACTTTTTGTTGACCCCGAATTCACTATATCCGCTCTCCCCGGACCCCGAATTCACTATATCCGCTCTCCCCGGACCCTGCATTCAATATATTTGCTCTCCCCGGACCCTGCATTCACTATATCCGCTCCCCGGACCCTGCATTCACTATATCCGCTCTCCCCGGACCCCGCATTCACTATATCCGCTCTCCCCGGACCCTGCATTCACTATATCCGCTCTCCCCGGACCCCGCATTCACTATATCCGCTCTCCCCGGACCCTGCATTCACTATATCCGCTCTCCCCGGACTCTGCATTCACTATATCCGCTCTCCCCGGACCCCGCATTCACTATATCCGCTCTCCCCGGACCCCGCATTTACTATATCCGCTCTCCCCGGACCCCGCATTCACTATATCCGCTCTCCCCGGGACCCCGCATTCACTATATCCGCTCTCCCCGGACTCTGCATTCACTATATCCGCTCTCCCCGGACCCTGCATTCACTATATCCGCTCTCCCCGGACCCTGCATTCACTATATCCGCATTCCCCGGACCCTGCATTCACTATATCCGGTCTCCCCGGACCCTGCATTCACTATATCCGCTCTCCCCGGACCCCGCATTCACTATATCTGGTCTCCCCGGACCCTGCATTCACTATATCCGGTCTCCCCGGACCCCGCATTCACTATATCTGGTCTCCCCGGACCCCGCATTCACTATATCTGGTCTCCCCGGACCCTGCATTCACTATATCTGGTCTCCCCGGACCCTGCATTCACTATATCCGCTCTCCCTGGACCCTGCATTCACTATATCCGCTCTCCCCGGACCCCGCATTCACTATATCCGCTCTCCCTGGACCCTGCATTCACTATATCCGCTCTCCCCGGACCCTACATTCACTATATCCGCTCTCCCAGGACCCTGCATTCACTATATCCGCTCTCCCCGGACCCTGCATTCACTATATCTGGTCTCCTACAGTACACAGAACATGGAAATACAATTATTGTAGTAAATATAAACTGCTAAATACCTTTTCTCATCAGCAGTATATAGCAGTCTTGTGATGTCTATCAGTGTCCAGCAGAGCATTGGTTAAAGCTTGCAGGAGGAGTTTTCTTTCTGCTCTAGGAGGATGTGAAACCCCTGACCTCTGTCTGGACAGCGCTGATTGGCCCTGTGCTGATCACATGCGCTCTCACAAGAAAAAAAAAACTGTCTAGCAGTACACACCAATCTGAGCATGTGCCTACAGATTCAGTCTGTAACAGGTGGTCATTTGAACAGGAGGAGGAGCAGAGAAGACAGGATCAAATGGCCTTTTTACACAATGCAGAGGATTAACCCCTTAGGTTCCACAGTGAGTATAACAAGCATGCTTTCCTGCATCTACAGACTGATTGTACTGTTGGGGGTTTAGTAACAAATTAAGTATAACTAAAGGCCCTGTGAAGAGATTAGAACCCCTGTCAGGTTTTATTGCTCCTGTTAGGGAGATTCACCCTCTATAATTGCCAAGTTTACAGCTATCATTGAAAGTGAAATTAGAAAAAAAAAAATGTGTTGTGTTGTCCTGAGAACAGGAATAAAGAGGGAATGTTCCAACGGAGACACTAGTCACCTTACCTCGTGGTAATCAGGAATTTCCTCACTTTGGTGGGATTTTCTCTCATTTTTGTTTTAGTTACGGGACAGGAAATGAAGGGAAATCTCCCCAATGGGACACAGAAAAAAAAAAAAAAAAAAGAGATTGACGAAGTTTTGCCTTTAGTTTTTCTGATGCGTTAAAAGCGGTCCTTTCCCCCGTTTTACTAAAATTCACATGAGAATTCACCTCTGCATGACGCCGTGAAATCATCCAACGCTGGGTAAAGTTGGTTGTATTGGTGGGCCACTAGGCGACCCTCCAGGCCAGAGATAAATAATGGCTTACGTGAGAGGGAGTTAAAGAGCGGAGAGTACAGGAGTGAGACTCAGGAGCTGGCACACATGGGACTTGGACCCTTTCTGCTTCCAGAGTTCATATTCCCCAGCTAGGGAATACCTGAAGAGGTGCTGGTGCCCTGGATAGGAAAGAGTTGGGGGACAGGACACAGATGGCCCAACTTGGGAAAGTGCCTACAACCAATGTCATATTGGTGAGAAACAGGGGGGGGGACTGACAACTCATGGGGCCCCCGGGCAATAGGGGATCATGGGGCCCCTGTGTCCATGCCCACACTCAAACCACACCCAAAAAAGCCTATGAAAGGTACCAGGGGCATTTCATGGGGCCTCCTACTGACCCCGAGCCATCAGGAAGTGCCCAAGTGTTCGAATGGTCAGTCCGCCCCTGGTTGTCCTGAGAACAGGAATAAAGAGGGGATGTTCCAACGGAGACACTAGTTACCTTACCTTGTGGTAATCAGGAATTTCACTCAAACCACACCCAAAAAAAGCCTATGAAAGGTACCAGGGGCATTTCATGGGGCCTCCTACTGACCCCGAGCCATCAGGAAGTGCCCAAGTGTTCGAATGGTCAATCCGACTCTGGTTGTCCTAAGACCAGGAATAAAGAGGGGATGTTCCAATGTAGACACAATGTAGACACTAGTTACCTTACCTTGTGGTAATCAGGAATTTCACTCAAACCACACCCAAAAAAAGCCTATGAAAGGTACCAGGGGCATTTCATGGGGCCCCCTACTGACCCCAGGCCCTCGGGCAGTGCCGAGTGCTCGAATGGTCAGTCTGCCCCTGGTGAAAAACTACAATGCTGTGCCACCTTGCTGATTTTTTTTTTTTTTTTTTTGCATACTTGCAACATTTAAAGCAGAGTTCCACCTGAAAAAAATAAAAAAGTTAGCAGCTACAAAAACTGTAGCTGCTGACTTTTAAAATACAGAAACACCTACCTGTCCCTCGGTCCCAGCGGTATCCTCACCACGGCTGGTTTCCCCGGCCGTCTTCTCTCCCCGACGCCGGCATCTTCACGGTGGGCACCCGCACAGCTTGCAGCTTCACAGCCATGTGCCCACTACGCATGCGCGAGAAGCGCTGCGCTTTGCAAATGGTCCCGTCGTCTTCTGGGACCTGTCACAGGAGGGAAGGTAGGAGGACAACTTACGCTTCCGGAAGTGGGAGCGGGTACCTGTCAAATTTTGGGTACCCGTTCCCCCCAAAGGTGCAATTCCTTAATGGGGAGCGGGGGACAAAGGCTTAAAGCGGAGCTTCCCCTTTTGGGTGGAGCTCTGCTTTAAATAATCCAGATCATCAAATGTTATTGTTACACAAAGATAGCCCGAGTAAATACAAAATGCGGTTTTTAAATGATGATTTCATATATCAAGGGAAAAAAGCTGCCTGGCCCTATGTGAAAAAGTAATTGCCCCCTAATCCTAATAATTGGTTGTGACGCTCTTGGCAGCAACAACTGCAATCCAGCTTTTTTTTTTCCCAGCAGGTGCACATTGGATCGTGCTTTGCTGGGGGTTTTTTTGCCTTCCTCTGGATCAACTGTGGGTATCGGATTATAACTTCTTTTTTTTTTCCTATGTTTGAGCTGGATGGACTTTTATCTTTTTTCAGCCAGACTAACTATGTATTTTTCCATATAAAAAGGGAGGGGTCCTCTTTAAACTATCTTCAGTATATGAGGATTGGCACAATGACTGTAAAATTATAAGGGCTTTTTCAAAAGGTGAACCTACATAATTTGTAATTTTCTTTCATGAGATACATCGATTTAGTCAACACTTCTTAAAGCGGAAGTAAACTCACCAATTAAAAAAAAAAGTTAAATTCCTGGCATGCTGGAAATGCTAAGGGCTCATGTACACTGCAGCTGATAAACTCACGTTTAGGAGCTTTTCTGCGTTTTTTTCAGCAGCCCCTGAACTCTCCTTAATGTTCTCCTATGGGTCCGTGTACACATCGTCCTTTACAGTCATTTGAGTTTACAGTCGTTTTTTTTTGAATGCAGAAAACTTGCGTTCAGCAGTCGATTTTATCAGCGTTTCAAACGCAAAACGCTTGTAAATGAGGCAAATCACATTTACAATTTTTTTTAACTTTAGTTCCCGATGCTGTCATCATAAAAAATGCATGCAAAGCATTTTCAAGGTACTTAGATGGACAAAACACTGAACACAGGATGTTCCTGCCAAGCTTGTCACACATTGTAATGACCAATTCATACCTCAGACCTCTCCCACCCTTGGAAACAAAAGATATGTTAATGACCATTCACACCTCTGACCTCTCCCACCCTTGGAAACAAAAGATATGTTAATGACCAATTCACACCTCAGACCTCTCCCGCCCTTGGAAACAAAAGATATGTTAATGACCCTTCACACCTCTGACCTCTCCCACCCTTGGAAACAAAAAGATATGTTAATGACCCTTCACACCTCTGACCTCTCCCACCCTTGGAAACAAAAGATATGTTAATGACCCTTCACACCTCTGACCTCTCCCACCCTTGGAAACAAAAGATATGTTAATGACCCTTCACACCTCAGATCTCTCCCACCCTTGGAAACAAAAGATATGTTAATGACCGTTCACACCTCTGACCTCTCCCACCCTTGGAAACAAAAGATATGTTAATGACCATTCACACCTCAGACCTCTCTCCCACCCTTGGAAACAAAAGATATGTTAATGACCATTCACACCTCAGACCTCTCCCACCCTTGGAAACAAAAGATATGTTAATGACCATTCACACCTCAGACCTCTCCCACCCTTGGAAACAAAAGATATGTTAATGACCCATTCACACCTCAGACCTCTCCCACCCTTGGAAACAAAAGATATGTTAATGACCATTTCACACCTCAGACCTCTCCCACCCTTGGAAACAAAAGATATGTTAATGGGACATTCACACCTCAAATTTCTCATGAAGACCCCCTGCCAGGTGACCTTAATGACTCCCTCTACCAGACACCTTTCCCCACCCTTGGGAACAAAAGAAATGTTAATGAGCAACTCACACCTAAGCTCATCTCAACACATACTGCTGTCTCTGCTTCTACTCTCTGTATTTCTCTGAAACAGTGTGAAATAGTTAATAATTTACCACTTTTCAGTGCATTCTGGGAATGTGGGAGGTTCTTCTCTGCTTATCTTTAAAAAAAAACGCTTCTAAACGCAAATGTGCATAAACGCGGTGTGCAAACATGGCTAAACAGACATTTTTAACCTACGTTTTCCAGCAGTCAGTTTCCATCGTTCAGAAGTGTTCCGTGTACATGGGGCCTAACTGTCACGTTTGCTTGTACTCTCAACCTAACTGTCAAACCATCAGAAGGCTGGTGTCATAATCACATGTGCAGCACCATGGCAGTTACAGATTAACCCCTTGACACCGACGTCACACAAATATGCGGCCTCACGGAACTGGGCTTTTTTTCCGTGGGGCTGCATATTTGCTTACCTGTCTTTCTGCTGAGAGCGCACCACAGGACGCGCTCCCAGCACAAAGACTGGGGTGTCACTGAGAGCCCCGGGTCCTGTTCTAACGATTGGGACCCGGGACTTCCGATTCCGGGTCACATGATCGCTGTGATAGCCTCTGATTGGCTATCACAGTGATCACTCACTGTACAGCCCGGCCCCCTTGTTTTTTTCTCTCTCTATGAATGGAGGAGAGAGATACATTGTATCTCTCTAACTCCTGGCATACAGGGGGAAAAAAATGTTTGTAAAAAAAAAAAAAAAGATAAATAAATATTTTAAAATGAAAAGAAAAAAAACCTAGATCAAGGTTTGATCTAGTTCAATGCCAGTGTAAGTGTTTGGGGCAATGTCAGAGGTCAAGGTCAAAAGGTCAGGATTAAAATAAAAATTGGTATCAGTGTCAGTGTGTTTTTAGGTAAAAAAAGACAAAAAACAAAATGTGCACTATTGTTTCTGGGCTGTACTCCGGGTACAAACAACAAATAACACACACATCAGGGGTGGACTGACAACTCATGGGGCCCCCGGGGCAATAGGGGATCATGGGGCCCCTGTGTCCTTGCCCAAACTCAAAAAAGCCTATGAAAAAGGTACCAGGGGCATCTCATGGGGCCCCCTACTGACCCAGTGCCCGAGTTTCCAAATGGTCAGTCCGCCCCTGATACACATATATGGTATCACTGCGATCGTCAAGAAGCCGGAGAATTTATTTTGGGTTGTTCTTTGGTGGTAGGTTATATGGTAGTAACAAGAGACACACACAGCTACATTTAAAAAAAATGATTTTTTTTTTTTACTATTTTAGGCCAGCTTTCCTTTCATAATAGAAAAAAAATCAGGATATATATATTACCATTTACCACCAAATGAAAGCCCAATTTGTCCTGAAAAAAACAATGTATAATCCACCTGGATGTACGAAGTAGTTTGTGATGATATGTACGGTTTTACTAACACAGGTCAAAGTTGCAAAATTGTGCTTAGGCATTTAGATTTGGTTTACCCTTAGGCGTGAAGGGGTTAAACAGAGGCTAAGATGGCAGCTTCCTTGACTGAAAAGGATAGGAGGGTTTAGTTCTGCTTTCACCTCGGCACTATGTATTAGAATGTTGTCTGCAGTCAACAAAAGAAATGAGCCATGATCCTATTCTGCGTCCCGCTCACCTGGGCACGAGTCCTGTCACTATCGGTGTACTCCAGAGGGGTGATGGTACAGTTGGACTCGATCTTGGCGATGCCGTACACAGACTGGAAGTGAGCGTTTTCACACACTCAGCGTGTACGGGATCCCACCAACCGGCACTTCTGGACGTGGCTGTTATGTTCACATCGTGATCTGGAAGAGATAAAAAGGAAATATCTCAATGTGCAAAATACAGATCAGCATCTTTTATTGTTACCGATTTCCTGTGGGATATGTTAAAAGTAAACCTTACTTGGCCTATAAAGTAAAAATGGGGATTAAAAAAAAAAATAGAAATGCAAGTATTTTGTTAGACTTCAAAACAACCCTTGTGGGGCATCCCTACCCACATGGAAGAAAAAATATATTTGAAAAATATTTAAAAAAATATTCTTCCCAAATACATTGACATATATTATAAATGCTACAATTTTGGCTGTATTCAATATATTTCAATACATATACATATATATACACATTATATATATAACATATATATACACACATATATACAGTAGGGATCGAAAGTTTGGGCACCCCAGCTAAAAATTTGTATTAATGTGCATAAAGAAGCCAAGGAAAAGATGGAAAAATCTCCAAAAGGCATCAAATTACAGATTAGACATTCTTATAATATGTCAACAAAAGTTAGATTTTATTTCCATCATTTACACTTTCAAAATAACAGAAAACAAAAAAATGGCGTCATCTGCAAAAGTTTGGCACCCTGCAGAATTTATAGCATGCACTGCCCCCTTTGCCAAGCTGAGACCTGCAGTGTCATGGATTGTTCTCAATCATCGTCTGGGAAGACCAGGTGATGTCAATCTCAAAGGTTTTAAATGCCCAGACTCATCTGACCTTGCCCCAACAATCAGCACCATGGGTTTTGCTTCTAAGCAGTTGTCTAGAAAACTGAAACTGAAAATAGTTGACGCTCACAAAGCTGGAGAAGGCTATAAGAAGATAGCAAAGCATTTTCAGATGTCAATATCCTCTGTTCGGAATGTAATTAAGAAATGGCAGTCATCAGGAACAGTGGAAGTTAAAGCAAGATCTGGAAGACCAAGAAAAAATATCAGACAGAACAGTGCAGGATTGTGAGAAAAAAACAATTCAAAACCCACGTTTTGACTGCAAGATCCCTCCAGAAAGATCTGGCAGACACTGGAGTTGTGGTACACTATTCCACTATAAAGAGATACTTGTACAAATATGGTCTTCATGGAAGAGTCATCAGAAGAAAACCTCTTCTACGTCCTCCACCACAAAAATCATCGTTTGAACTTTGCAAATGAACATATAAACAAGCCTGATGCATTTTGGAAGCAAGTTCTGTGGACCGATAAGGTTAAAAATTGAACCAGCATTTTTGGCCGGAATGAGCAAAGGTACGTTTGGAGAAGAAGGGGGCACAGAATTGAATGAAAAGAACCTCTGTCCAATTGTTAAGCATGGGGTTGGATCAATCATGCTTTGGGGTTGTGTTGCAGCAGTGGCACAAGGGAACATCTCACGAGTAGAAGGAAACATGGATTCAATAAAATTTCAGCAAATGTTGGATGGTAACTTGATGCCATCTGTGAAAAAGCTGAAGTTAAAGAGAGGAAGGCTTCTACAAATGGATAATGATCCTAAACACACCTCAAAATCCACGGGGATTACATCAAGAGGTGTAAACTGAAGGTTTTGCCATGGCCTTCACAATCTCCTGACCTCAACATAATTGAAAATCTATGGATAGACCTTAAAAGAGCAGTGCGTGACAGACAGCCCAGAAATCTCAAAGAACTGGAAGATTTTTGTAAGGAAGAATGGGCAAAGATACCTCAATCAAGAATTGAAAGACTCTTGGCTGGCTACAAAAAGTGTTTACAAGCTGTGATACTTGCCAAAGGGGGCAGTACAAAGATATTAACTCTGCAGGGGGCCCAAACTTTTGCAGACGCCATTTTTTTTGTTTTCTGTTATTTGAAAGTGTAAATGATGGAAATAAAAATCTAACTTTTGTTATATTATAAGAATGTCTAATCTGTAATTTTGATGCCTTTTGGAGATTTTTCCATCTTTCCTTGGCTTCTTTATGCACATTAATACAAATTTTTAGCTGGGGTGCCCAAACTTTCGATCCCCACTGTATATACATATATATACACACATATATATCAGTCATGGCCGAAATTGTTGGCACCCTTGATATTTCTCCAGGAAATCATGTATTTCTCACGAAACGTATTGCATTAACACATGTTTTGCTATACACATGTTTATTCCCTTTGTGTGTATTGGGACAAAACAAAAAAAGGGAGGAAAGAAAGCAAATTCGACATAATGTCAACACAAACCTCCAAAAAATGGGCTGGACAAAAGTATTGGCACCCTTTCACAACTGCGGATAAATAAGAATGTTACTAAGCATGTGTGATGCTCCTGTAAACTCACCTGGGGCAAGTAACAGGTGTGGGCAATATAGAAATCACACCTGAAAGCAGATAAAAAGGAGAGACGTTCACTTAACCTTTGCATTGTGTGTCTGTCTGTGCCACACTAAGCATGGACAACAGAAAGAGGAGACGAGAACTGTCTGAGGACCTGAGAACCAAAATTGTGGCAAAATTATCAACAATCTCAAGGTTACAAGTCCATCTCCAGAGAACTAGATTTGCCTTTGTCCACAGTGCGCAACATTATCAAGAAAGTTTTGCAACCCATGGCCACTGTAGCTAATCTCCCTGGTCGTGGACGGATGAGGAAAATTGATGAAAGATTGCAACGCAGAGATAGTCCGATGGTGGATAAGCAGCCCCAAACATGTTCCAAAAGAACATTCAAGCTGTCCTGCAGGCTCAGGGAGCATCAGTGTCAGCGCGAACTATCCGTCGACATTTAAATGAAATGAAACGCTATGGCAGGAGACCCAGGAGGGACCCCACTGCTGACACAGAGACATAAAAAAGCAAGACTACAGTTTGCCAAAATGTACTTGAGTAAGCCAAAAGCCTTCTGGGAAAACGTCTTGTGGACAGATGAGACCAAGATAGAGCTTTTCGGTAAAGCACATCATTCTACTGTTTAACCGAAAACGGAATGAGGCCTACAAAGAACAAAACACAGTACCTACGGTAAAATATGGTGGAGGTTCAATGATGTTTTGGGGGTTGTTTTGCTGCCTCTGGCACTGGGTGCCTTGACTGTGTGCAAGGCATCATGAAATCTGAGGATTACCAAAGGATTTTGGGTCGCACTGTAGGGCCCAGTGTCAGAAAGCTGGGTTTGCGTCCAAGATCCTGGGTCTTCCAGCAGGACAATGACCCCAAAATACGTCAAAAAGCACTCAGAAATGGATGGCAAAGAAGCGCTGGAGAGAGTTCTGAAGTGGCCAGCAAAGCCCAGATCTAAATCCCATTGAACACCTGTGGAGAGATCTTAAAAATTGCTGTTGGAAAAAGGTGTCCTTCCAATAAGAGAGACCTGGAGCTGTTTGCAAAGGAAGAGTGGTCCAAAATTCCGGTGAGAGGTGTCAGAAGCTTATTGATGGTTATAGGAAGCGACTGATTTCAGTTATGTTTTCCAAAGGGTGTGCAACCAAATATTAAGTTAAGGGTGCCAATACTTTTGTCCAGCCATTTTTGGGGTTTTGTGTGACATTATGTCATATTTGCTTTTCTGCCTCTGTTTTATATTTGTTCCAATACATACAAAGGGAATAAACATGTGTATAGCAAAACATGTGTTAATGCAATACCTTTTTTGTGTGAAATACTTGATTTTCAGGAAAAATATCAAGGGTGCCAACAATTTCGGCCATGACTGTATATACATATATATACACACACACATATATATATATATTATATAACATACACATATGTATATATATATACACTGCACGTTGAAATGCGTTTTTTTAATATATTACAACATATATGAAAAATATTTTTGAAAATAAAAAAATATTTTTAAAAATATATATATTTTAAATATATTCTTCAGATTATTTTTAACATATAAAAAAGTCATTTTAACCTATATTTTTACATATATTTATAAATGCGTTCCAAAAATGTAGATTAAGTGTATTTTTAAAGACATACAGTATATTTGAAAATGTATTTTTAAAAATATTTTCATATATTTTGCAAGGAAAACACATTTCAACATACATACATGGAAATTGTGGCACTTGATATTTATTTGGGTTGGGATTAGAATCTGTTTAGAAGTCAAGGCTCCATTACAGCATGGGCCAGTAATGAAAAGGGCTCCATGAGGTCAAGGGGGAACTGGTTTGAAGACTTATACAAAGTATCTGTTGCCTGAACTTCAGCAAACATTTTAGGCCAGATCAGATTCACATGAGAGTACTTCAGATTCACTTAGATACACAGAATATAACTGGATATAACATTTATAGGTAAAGTTGATCCAGGGAATATCTAATTGCCTCTCGGGGGATCAGGAAGGAATTTTTTTTCCCTGCAGGAGCAAATTGGATCGTGCTTTGCTGGGTTTTTTGTGCCTTCCTCTGGTATAACTGTGGATGTAGGATTATAACTTGTTTTTTTTTTTGTTTTTTTTAATGGTTGAACTGGATGGACTTTTCTCTTTTTTCAGCCAGACTATGTAAGAGTAAGTTGTCCTTTCAGAAGAGCAAATTTTCAATTGGGAAAAAACCCCAGTTTTTTTGTACTTGTACCTATAGGGGTGTATCTCGGGTTGAGGACTGCTGGGAGCACAAAACGCACAGCTCCGTCGGCCTCCATTAGCAGCTCCAGCACGTATTTCATGGTGACCTCGGCCTCCTGGCCAGGAGGGAGATTCCCGACATTGCAGCTAAAGATGTCCCCTGAGCTCTCATCTTCCTCCAAGAAGAAGGCTTGCTCACCACGGCTGATGGCCTCATCGTAGGTTTTGTGAGCCTGGAGAAGAGAGGCAGCAGCAGCAAATTGGTTATTGTCATGTAACACGAACATTTTTATAGCACTTTAGATTTGTAAATACGGTGTACATGAAATTTGATTACAGTTTCTGAAGCTGCGATGGCTGCTGAAATATCCTCAAGACACTTTCTCCATGTGATACCAAACTAGATCCTCAGTTGACAGTCCCTCAATCAGCATCAGCAGCTTTCAGCTTTAGGAGGACTCCTTGAAGCCCCAACAATCCACAAGCACATGGCAGAATTGCCTAGGGGGCTAGCAGCCCCCCCAGGCCATGATCTCCACCTCAGGGAAAAAATACCCCTCTGCTCAGAGTCTTTGAGTATTTATAGACTCCCAGACATCATCTGGGCACCTCTCCCCAGTGATTGGCCAAGGCTGTATGAATATTTAGCTGCTGATTAGGCTCTTCCTGTCTACTAATTTCCAGAACATTTCTCGACCAGCCAGGGGAAAGCAGCTACTGAATCACCGAACAGACCAGAACAATCAAACACAGCCACACTGGATACAGTGAGCCAAGAACTAAATTTACCTTATCCTAGCACCTATATAGGTGGGAGCTACAAAATTAGGAAAGAAGTTCATCTGAACTGGACTAAAAGCAACGAAGGTGGCCACACTGCTCACGTATAGGCAACCTGTGCCTGGAAATATCAACATTGGGCTTTGTATCAAGCTCTGAGCCCCTGTAGTATCAGTTTAGCTCCAGGCTTCTCAAGTCGAGCCCCACCCCAACCGCATCCTGACTACTTAATCTCATCTCCTCTTATTCTTACATCCAATGGCAGAGCCCCTTGTGGGCAGTTTGCAGCCTTGGTCGAATGTCCACAGGGGATCTACAAGGACTGAGGCATCAACATAAAAGGCAAAAGGTGACCTAATGATTGTACTACAGGCCTGATAGTCTACAATCATTTTAATTGAATTTCAGTTCAATTTAATGAAAATTCTAAGAGTGTATTATCCTGTCTCACATGAAAATTTCAGGTTTTCTGATGTTTGTCCTGTAATCCTCATTACCTGCTCCTTCTCCTGAAGGTCGGCTACAATCTTCTTCCCCTCTATTGTGGCCTCAAAGCTGTAGATGGCGGAGTCCTTATCCATGGGGAAGACAAAGACCGCTTCCACCGCCTTCTCCTCCTTGTTCTTATACTTGAGAATCGTCGATATATCCGCCACAAAACCTTTCACCTGGATGTCAACCCAGATCCCCTGCAGAGGGACTGGACACACACACACAGAGGGGAATCAGAATTAAATCTGGTGTCTTCTAAAATTTAAATCTTATAAACCTTCACTTGTTCAACTACCAATATCTAAGCTGCTGCATTAGACCCCCTTTGGTGTCAACATGTTTTAAATTAATATTATACAGCACTTTACTACACATTAATAGTGCACTGAAAACATGCACCCCTTCCCTTCACTCCTACTTTACTACTCACGTAGTGTGCAGTATTTCATATATACAGTATATATCCCCACCCCACAGGTTTTATAAAAAGGTTTTATGCTATGGCGGCTTTATTTCCTATGGGTCTGGTACATGAGATACAAACCGCAGGATTGTGGAAACCACGTGGCTTTAACTAGACATGTGCAGTTCATTTAGTTCTGAATTTTCATTATTCAGCTGTATCTGAATTTCCAAATTACAATAGTAACAAATTTAAAAACGAATCCAAAATAATGAAACAAAAATTGAATTTGAAAACAAAATCAAATTCGAAAAATTTGAAATATAAACATATTGCTAAATGTTGCCGATTTCCTTTAAAGGCGGTGTGTATTAGTGTTAGAATATAGCTGCCTTCTGAAATTCGAATTTCGAAAACAATAGAATAAAAAAGAATAAAATAGAAAAGAAAAAAATATGAAGAAAAGGAATAGAATAGAAAGAATATAGCCGTCTTCCGAAATTCAAATTTTGAAGACAGTAGAATAGAAAATAAAAGAATAAAATAGAATAGAAAATAATAGATTTGAATAGAATAGTTGAACAAAGAAAGAATATATCCATCTTCCGAAATTCAAATTTTGAAATGAATAGAATAGAATTGAATAGAACAGAATAGAATAGAAAATTTAAAAAAAATAAAGTAGAATAAAATAGAAAAAAGAAAAGGGAATAGAGTAGAAAATAAAAGAATGGAATAGAAAAGAATAAAGTAAATGAGAAGAGAAGAGAAAGAATAGAATTTCAATAGAATTTAGAGTTTAAATTGATTTTTCCTTCTTTCTCCTTTACACTGATGTGTGCCTAGATGTGCTTGGAGTTGGATATGCACACTCTTTTGCCAAAAGTATTGTCCCCGCCCTCCAAATCATGCGATTCAGGTGTTCCAATCCCCTCCATGGACACAGGTATATAAAATCAAGCCCCTAGGCATGCAGACTGCTTCTACAAACATTTGTGAAAGAATGGGTCGCTCTCGGGAGCTCAGTGACTCCAAGCGTGGTCCCGTGATAAGTTGCCACCTGAGGACTTAAAATAGGTGGTTCCCACCACAAGCTTTGCCTTTTCGCAGATGACGTGCTCCTCTTTCTCACCTCCCCATTGACCTCTACTCCCCCCCTTCTCCAGCTCCTTGAGGATTTCAGCTCTATTTCCGGCCTCCATGTCAACCCCCAGAAATCATTAGCTCTTAATGTCTCCCTTCCTCCCCAGAACCTGGATCATCTACAACAGGTTCTGCCCTTTTCTTGGTCACAGCTCTCAATCCCCTTCCTAGGCATGACACTAACTTCTTGCCTATTGGATATTTCTGTGAATAGCTATTCACCTATGTTGACCCACTTTCCGAATCTCATGACCAAATGGTATTCTTTGCCATTGGCCGGATGGGCAAGATTACTGTTGTGAAAATGTCCATTCTCCCTAAAATACTTTACCTGTTTAGAGTTCTACCCAGGGGCGGACTGACCATTTGGAAACTCGGGCACTGCTCGAGGGCCCGGGGTCAGTAGGGTATCCCATGAGATGCCCCTGGTACCTTTTTCATAGGCTTTTTTGAGTTTGGGCAAGGACACAGAGGCCCCATGATCCCCTATTGCCCGGGGGCCCCATGAGTTGTCAGTCTGCCCCTGGTTCTACCCATTCCAGTACCCACACATTATCTTCGTATCCTACAAGGGCACATATATACCTATGTTTGGGGCTCTATCCGTCCTCGCATTTTGCGTTCTACCCATCTAGACTCAGAGGTGGCCTTGGCCTCCTAGACGTTTATAAATATTACCAAGCAGCACCTCTTGCACAAATGCCTAAATATCATGCGACTCATTAAATTTCTCAATGGGTCGTCCTTGAATCGATTGATTGTGACCCCCTTTCAACTGCCAGTCTTCTATGGCTGCGGCCATCGGATCGCCGCCCACTTTGTAACCCCATAAAATCTCACTATATCTCTCTTTGGGATAATCTAAAATCCCGCTACTCCCTTCAGTCACCACACAAACCCCCTGCTCTCCTATCTTCGAAACCCGGCCTTCCCCCCAGCCTGGTCCTCCCCGCGATCCTTTAGACACTGGTCCTCGGCCAACCTCCTGCGTACCCACCACTTTTTGACCAATAGAGGTTTCAAATCTTTCCCTTCCCTCCGTGAGACACACTCTCTACAAGCGTCAGAAATCTTTAGATACCTCCAGCTACAACACTTTTATGCACCGCATACTGCCCAACCCCGTTTGACTCGCTCGATGTCCCTCTTTGAACGATCTTGTGATAGAGATCTGCATAGGCGAGGCCTAATCTTTGATATCTACACCCTCCTCTCCACACCTGAGTCCTCATTACACCCTCTTATGTCAATAGATGGGAGGCGGATCTGGGCCATCAACTGGACCCTGTGGATTGGGACCGCATCTAGACTGCATCCAAGTCCTCTTCACAAAACGTAGTAGTCCTAGAGACTAAGTATAAAGTCTTAACCCGATGGTACCTGGTCCCGGTGAGGATTGCTAAATATACACCCATGTCAGGGTCCTGTCCATGGCTGAAGTTCTGGACGATCTGGCATTTTTGCCAGTACTCTATATGGCCGCAGAAGTACACATCAGCCTCAGTCTAGTGCCAGACGGCCTTTATAAGGAGGCTCATCACTTCCTCAAGTTGCTGGATGATCTCTAGCTCCCCTTGCCCTGATCCTGTTTCCTGTGGTTCTGACTTGCGATTTCCTGTTACCGACTCGGCTTGCTCCTGGACATGTCTAATCTGCTTTACACCTGATCTGACCTCGACTTGGCTTACGGATACTCTCTCTCTTGCTCCTTTGTGTATGACCTCGGCTATCCCTTCTGACTACGTCTGCTCTGATTCCCACCTGGTACCTGATCTTGGCTTGAACCAACTACCCAGTAAATATCTAAATCCCGGAAGGGCTTGCATACCACGCACAGGCGCCTCCTGTCTGCAGATCTATCTCCCGTGCACCAGCTGTGCTTCTGAGTGGACCACCAACCAGCACTCCTACAGGCGACCTGTGCAACTTTGGGCCTGACTCCCGCTGTCCCACTCTCAGGGGAGTCCAGGGAAGCCCTCTCTCCATTGGCCTCCATCACCAGGTACGTGATAACCCAGCTATCCCTCTGAATGCTTTCGGGGTTGTGCGATGGTAGGGACCTACTTTCACATCTGGTGGACTTGCCCGGTAGCCCGAGCCTTTTTGGGTTGAAATCTTTCATATGTCATCCATGCTCTTCATGAAATCCATATCACCTGACCCAGTTGTAGCCCTTCGAAAACCTGAGCCCTTCCAGCATTTCTAAGCCTCAAATTAAACTCCTCTTGCAAGTCACCACAGCAGCTAAACAGATCCTAGCCAGATCGTGGAAATCTCCATCTTTGTGTACCGTAACAGTGAGGAACAAGGTTAGGCAGGCTTTGATTCATTCTAAAGTGGAAGCCACCATTCTAGATGCCGTTCCTAGGTTTTTGTCAATCTGGACCCCATGGGTGGAACATTTCCTCCCACCGAACTTTGACGACTCATTACTCCTTCCTTGATATTTCCTAATCCACTACTTTGACTATCCAACATGCTGAGTTATGCATTGATATGGTCTCGAGTCTATCTACTATCTACCAATCAATTTACACATATTGGGATTTTTTTTTTTTACCAAAGACATGGCAAAATACATTTTGCCCTAAATTTATGATTTTGATTTTTTAAAATGTGTTTGGTTTTTTAAATTTTTTAATTGGATGTTTCATAGCGAAAAAAAAGTAAAAATTTTTTTTATTTAAACATTTTCGATCTTTTTTTCGTTTATATAAGAAATTTTTTTTTAAAGAAGCCGGTGATGATCAAATACTGCCAAAAGAAAGCTCTATTTGTGTGAAAAAAATTATATAAATTTAATTTGCATACAGTGTTGCATGATCGCACAATTGCCAGTTAAAGTAACTGTACTGTACATACCATACCTGATAATGCCCCTGGAAGCTGGAAATCTCTGAAGCAGGGGCGGACTGACAACTCATGGGGCCCCCGGGCAATAGGGGATCATGGGGCCCCGTGTAATTGCCCAAACTCAAAAAAGCCTATGAAAAAGGTACCAGAGGCATCTCATGGGGCCCTCTACTAACCCCGGGCCCTCGGGCAGTGCCCGTGTTTCCAAATGGTCAGTCCGCCCCTGCTCTGAAGTTGACACCGCTACTCCAGTGATCTCCACCAACCTCTGGGTCCTGTGCAGAGCGGCCAACCAAATGCATTCTGAACACAGGAGGTTGGCCTCTTGACACGGATGCCATTCAGAGAATGCTTTGCATCTTCTGATTGAATGCAAAGAGTTCTCTGATTGGATGAGATGGAGAGCATTACATCACCATCGCTCGCACCTGCAGAACGAGAATTCATCAAACGCAGCGTTCATGTGTCACCCAAGAAAGGTTTCTTTGAAAAATGAAAGCTGGGGACACCCATACTGTAATCCGCTATTGCTTGTACACACTCACCTGGCTGGCGGGAAGCCACGATGAGGAGGCCACAACATGGAGAAAATGGCGGCATTATTGCGCGTTATCTGAAGGGAAATGAAAGATAAAACAGGTA